GCCTCGCAGGTTAGAGAAGGGCGCCGGGGTGTCTGGTCCGAACGTCCAGAACCTACATAGAATGTCATACGCACACACACACACAAATAACAGACACTAGCAAATAACAGCTCCCATCAAGGCTGAAGAGAGTCTGAGCTCCTTATTATCAGTTAAGTATACCAAAACATAATGCTAAAACATTCACTCATTTAGGAGAAAAACAGATCACTGGCATTTACTCCCAAGGAAGGAAATATACTGGAAAGAATACATTTTAATACAACAATTAAAGTTTGATAGTAACGCTCAATATAGCTTGACCATATGTCCAGCGAAGAATCATATGTGCCCACGCTGCCTTTAGGACCCTCTAACCTTTCTACTGATCCCAGAGAAAGAGACAAACGGCCTTGTGGGTTCCGTGGCCTTCGTGTCCTGCGTGTACTAAGTGCAATCTCAAAGTAAGATTGGAATGCACCTAAAAGAAACTGGTTACTTGCATCCATGCATTTAAGAAAATATAATTTCACAAGCACAAGAATATAAAAATTATTATGTGATAATGAATATATTTGATTATTGATTTTTATAAAGGAAGTATATAACCATTCAAAATGATATATGATTATATATGTATTTGAAGAGGCAAGGGATTTTGACCAACCCTTCAGCCTCAAAAATGCGGCACAAACCTTTCAGCGCATGATGGACTCAATCCTACGAGATCTGGATTTTTTATTTGTATACTTGGATGACATTTTAGTCGCTAGTACCTCTAGATCAGAGCACCTGGCGCATCTGCGATTGATGTTCGCTCGCCTCAGCCAGCATGGCTTGATAATTAACCCCACTAAGTGTCAGTTTGGCCTGACTGCCATCCACTTTCTTGGTCATCGAATCACCGGCGAAGGGGCAGTTCCCCTACCAGACAAAGTCGACATCATTACACAGTTCCCTGTTCCCCAGACAACCAAAGGACTACAGGAATTTGTGGGGATGGTGAATTTCTATCACCGTTTCATTCCTCGGGCAGCCGAGCTCATGCATCCTTTGTACAGAGCCCTCAAAGGACATGGCAAGAACAAAACGATTTCCTGGTCAGAGGAGATGTCTAGGTCATTCGAAGGCGCTAAACTCGCTTTGGCGCAAGCCACCTTGCTGTCCCATCCTGTTCCAGGTGCCCCCATTGCCCTCACTTCAGATGCTTCAGACCGCGCTGTCGGCGCAGTACATGAACAGCTGGTTGGCGGTGTTTGGCAACCCCTGGCATTTTTTAGTCGCCAGCTACGCCCAAATGAGCAGAGGTACAGCACATTTGACAGAGAGCGCTTTACAGAGGCAGGAGTTACACTGATGTGTGATGTCTCCAGGGGCTACCCTCGCCCAGTGGTACCTGGACAGTGGAGGCGAGCTGTTTTTAACAGAGCCCACAGTTTGTCACACCCTGGACGGAAAGCTTCACAGAAACTGGTCTCTTCAAAGTTTGTGTGGCATGGATTGAAGAAGGACATCCGAAACTGGGTCTCGGCTTGTGTAGCATGTCAGCGAGCTAAAGTACAAAGACACATCAAGGCACCATTGGAAATTTTCGAGGTACCAGAGCGACGTTTTGACCACTGCCACCATCCCGGGGGTTTACTCATCTTCTGACAATGGTGGATCGAACCAGCAGGTGGCCGGAGGTGGTACCTTTGACCTCAACGACAACAGCGGATGTAGCACGGGCCTTCATTGACACTTGGGTTGCACGTTTCGGCACACCATCAGACATCTCTTCAGACCGCGGCCCCCAATTTACATCTGATTTGTGGACAGAGGTGGCTCGGATTCTGGGAGTGCAGCTGCACTGTACTACAGCATTCCATCCACAGGCAAATGGCCTCTGCGAACGCTTTCATCGCTCTCTGAAAGCTGCGCTAAGGGCCAGTTTGACAGATGACAGATGGACCAAGCGGCTACCCTGGGTTCTGCTGGGCCTGCGGACGGCTCCCAAGGAGGATCTACAAACTTCTTCAGCAGAATTGGTATACGGTCAGAGTTTGCGGGTCCCGGGAGATTTCATTCTAGACAGCACAAAGCCCTGGAGTCCATCTTCTGAACGCACTGCCCTCTTAGACAGGATCAAGGCTTTCAAACCTCTACCTACCTCTCAACATGGACTGGCTGGGGCTTGGGTTCCCAAAGACCTTTCTGAGGCTAAGTTTGTATTCATTCGTCATGATGCTCATCGGAATTCTCTGCGACCCCCCTACGATGGACCGTTTCGGGTTCTGGACGCTGGAGCCAAAACCTTTCTAGTCGATATAGGAGGACGCCCAGAGCGAGTGACTGTTGATCGACTCAAAGCAGCTCATGGGGAGCCAGGTCAACCGATGGTTCCGGCGCAGGCTCCAAGGAGGGGTCGTCCAGCCACCAACAAGGAAGCAGCCTCCAAAGCGGAATCTCAGACTGCGCGAGAGGTTCAAGATGCTGCCGATTCGCGGCATTTCACACGTTCAGGGAGACAAATTCGAGCTCCTAGCAAGCTGCTGTTGCCGGTGTTGGTGAATTCTGGGGGACCTGTGTAGAGGCAGATACAAGCTCACACATCATGGATCTGCTGACATAATTCACTCATCACCGACACACATGTATATTGGACATGTCCCCTTTAAGAAGACGTTCATGAGAGTTTGGGGGTGGTTTAATGCGCGTTTTTTCTGACGCATGAGTTCATTAAAAAACACAACTGTTGTTGTTCTGACACCGCAATCCTGCCTCCGTGTATTTTTGATAGCACAAAAGCTACAACAGTGCCATTTATTGTTTAAAAGTGATAAGCAATTAAATCATATTACTAGTAATTGTATTTATGATTTTTCAGCCGTTGTGCTAAAAATAATCTAAAAATGTCTATCATTTGTTGCAGTCTGATAACTCTTATCAATTTCTTGTACTTGGCCCCTTAATAATTGCTGCTTGCAACTATATTTTAAAGGCACAATATGTTAGATTTTTTTCGCCACAAGAGGGCGCAGTTTCCAACAATAACAAAGGCGTGGGTTTATGATGCAGTGATGTGCTGAAAGATGGGACTTGCTGTCAAGCTGATGGATCTAATTATGTTTATGGATGAGTGCAAACATTGATGTTTTTTAACATTACAGTGGTATGAAGCAGGTCGCAATTGCTAAAGAGACCACACGCGAGTCCCGCGGATATAAAGGAATAAGGACATTTAATTCTACCGAACTACCCGCAAGTGCTGGATTACTCACACACGTCAGTTTATTAGACGAATTAAACTTGTGAGGTAACGCAGCGCTGCTTCACTTGGTCTAACGTTGCACTATCACACTAAACGGCATTTAAATGTGTGTTGAAAGTTATAATGTTATACTACGTGTTAGTTCGTTTGCTATAGGCCTACGAAACTAGCAGTAAGCTAGATCAACATTAGAATAACATACTGACCATATTCTAACATTTCATCATGTTGGGTGAGCTAACGTTATATAACATTGATTTGTTTTATGTACATTTGCTCACCTGTCTAATAAAGATGTCAAGTCGTGACTCGTGAAACTCTGTCAAGTCCAAGTTAGTCGCGGACGTGGAGCTTAGCCCCAATATCCTTCTTCTTGATATTTTGACTGTTTCCTTTTACAAAGTAGGCCTACTACATCTGTTCACAGATAATAATTTATAATCATTCAAAAAAGCTGGAAAAGAAACATGGAAGCTGGACCTGTTGCAACTTAAATTGAATAACCCTGATAAACCGAGTAAAACTGTAAATGGTTTTGCATTGCATTACATGAAAGTAAAAACAATGCATTGCTGTATGATTTACAATGAAAAACATTTAAAAAAAAAACATTACAAAAAGTCCCTGTGTGACACATCAGAAAATTATTATATTTTATTTACATCAATTTGCTTCTCATTTTTGTTATCAGTAATGATTTAACATTAAATCACTTCATAAAATATATGGTTATAAGTTGTAAAATATACAAGCATCAATATGCCGTCCCATAATACCTGAAACAATCACACAGTATTTTTTCAGTGAATTTTGGCTGCCAAAGCTGCTAGATGAACACACAGGACATTTCACATTTAATGTCAACATGAAATTAAAATTGACCATTTTTTATGGAATATTGCAGTATTTTAAATTATTTATCCATCCACATCATTATTACATTTTTTTATATAATATAATATATTTGATTTGTAAGCACATCTTACAGAAGAAAAATAAATACGTTTTTTCTTTCTCTTCTGCAGTCAAGTCAAGTCATCTTCATTTATATAGCGCTTTTAACAATGGATTGTTTCAAAGCAGCTTTACAGAGATAAACATATAATTTAAGGTAACAGAGATTGTTTTGGTTTTATAGCGGTTCTTGAATAATGTTATTTCCAGCTAAAGTTAATTTTGATTGATTCACCTCCGTCGAAATGATCAGACTTTAAACGCGAACGATTAACGCTGACGGCGTTCACATGCACATTCAGAATTGATTAGTTATGTGCTTTTGAAAATATGTGCACAGGTTTGTAATTCCATACAACCCATGCCTAAACAAACTACTTGTCAAATTGATACAGAATTTTGTTTTATTTTATCACTTCGGGGTACGCGAACCGAAATTCACAACGCTTTATCTGTAGAGTGCAAGGGATCCTCCATAGGGAGAGGATAGTTGACACTTCAGCACTGCATTGTCATCGGGTCCAGGCGAAGCTCCTTCGTCAGATCTGGATACGGCAGGCTGCGGGAAAACCTCGGGATAAACAAAGACACTAATATTAGCGTAGATGCCATTCTTCTTATGATGTAACGAGTACATCAAGATTTAAGGGAAGTGTTCCCAGTTCCGGCTGACCTGCAGCCTAACATTGAATTATAGAAGTCTATAATGTATTATGTGTATGCTAGGTCAAAGAGATGTGTTTTCAGTCTAGCTTTGAACTGACAGAGTGTGTCTGCTTCCCGGACAATGTGCAAAGTGCATGTAAGCTGTGCTTGGATCTGTAATTGCTGCTTGGAACTATACAATGGTAAATTATAATATATTAGTTGCATATACAGTATGTGTATATATACACATATAATCAACAATCCGCTTGGCTGGATCACTTTCCAGGCATGAACAGATCAGACCTACGCATTCTGTGAAGAGAAAATGCATATAAATCATTCAATAAATTTCATTAACGTAAGATCTATACGCAAGATCACATTATTTTAAGCAGTAATAAAATTTCATGTATGATTCATCCAAATCCTCTCACCTTTGGAAAGTTCTTCTATGTACCAGTTCCTGGGAAAGATCTCAGGGAGCTGCTTGACAGGGAACTGCCCACACACCATCCTGAACAACAGTACGCCTAAAGAATACACTGTTGCAGGCTTGCCGTGGTACCTTCTAAGACAGGCACTCTCATGGGGAGCTCTTGTGCCTGGAAGAAAGAACAAGATTTTGTCCATTGCCATTAGTTTGTATTTACACAGCTTTTGTGTATTTATTTATTATAATACAACAAATGATCTACTGTTCTGAATGGCTTAGTATAACTTGTCACCATAGATTTGTGGAATAATACGTACCACTGTATGTTGAATAGGCAGACTTCTTCAAGCATCTACTACAGCCAAAGTCTAATAATTCGACCTGCAAGTTGTTTCGCAGCATATTCCTGCAACAGTGACAACCTGACACATCACCACTCGTGCTGTCGATTTCCTGATTCTGCTACCATGCCGAAGTACAAACCGACACATATTACATGCCGTACGGCTTTACATGGCGTACGTGCGCCGCTCTAAGACCAGTATGTATTCATCTGGTCTCTCATACCAGTCCAGCAGCTCTTTTACTTGAGGAACACTGGAGCCTTTGTTCAGAAGAACCATTATAGTGACCTCTTTTGGAAGGGCTTTGTCAAATAGACCCTACAGGAGAGATAATAGTTACGGTAAGTGAGATGATTAGGGGACGTGGTTTAACTTATCTGAATTACTACAACAGAATTATGTCCTGCATTGGGGTAAGTAGGTTTGAGGACTTGTAATTTAAACAAATTCAACTGTAAATATTAACTGACATTGTGGTTACATTTACTGTTGATAGGCAAAATTTCGCAGTGCAAAAGTCAGTTATTTTAACTGGAATCCACAAGCTCACTTTTGCGTGAGGGCGAAAAAGTTCAACACGCACATTTTACTCGTTCATGTTGGTCACGCTAATTTTTGCCGTGTTGACAAACAGAAAGCTGCTTGACTTGAAAGTTCATACGCTATTGACAATGGGCCTTTTTTTCTGGAAAAATTTTGTTAAAATAGCCTATCGCTAAAGTGACTTACTCTGAGTAAGAAAACAAAGAGAGAAGCAGTCTACTTACAATACTGACATTTTCCATGTTTTCTGTCTTCACAACATATTTGATTACCACCCGTTTACCAAAAATTGTTTTATTTTTTTGTGAGAATGGGTTACAATTAATTAATTAATTATCTCTGCACATCTGTCACATGACTCCAGACATGAACCTTAATGTAACTTTTCATGAGTTTAAATTCCAAGAGTACAAATAACTTTTGTTAGCAAGTAATGAAACAAACCTTTCGTGAATCGTTCCATCAAAGACATTTCCGTATGATCCTTTAGCCTGCATTCCACCAGTTTCATAGTCCTGGAAGATGTCCCCTGTTAATAAATAAGAATTATTTACAGTATAAACTGTAAAAAAAAAAAAAAAAGAAACCTGATTAAAGTTTGCCTTAGAATGGACACATTATTGTGCTATGGGGCCTCACATAACCAAAATCACATTTTTGTCCAACAGTGCTGTTGTTCTCCTCATAGATCAATGGCACAGTCAGAGAAGTACTGTTGCTGTGAGTGCTGATGCCCCCTTGCTTTTCACTGGGAATGTCTTTATCAACATCTTGAGAAGACACACAGCTGTATACTGAAGTTGTTCAACTTAAGGAATGTCTTTGAAAATCTCCTGTACAGCAGTTAGGGAGGACACACAGACAGAGGTGAGTTTACCATTTTGGGTTCCCTAAGAAAAATAAAAAAAACTTTTCTTTTTATTTTAAGTGACTGGAAGTGAAATACCACCTGTGGAAAATATGCTTCCCTATCAAATAGATTACAACAGAGGAAGTTGTAATAAGTTTTTAATTGATCATTAGATATGGGAACATATATGTTTGTGAACAGGATGTATGCATGTTTGGGTATCTGGGGAGGTGGCTGGGTGTGACACTTTAGAAACATATGGGACAGGACCTTTGACCCTAGTACTGACTTTTGGTGGTGGTCTTAAGGGATAACTAAGTGATAAACAGAAACTTATGTAAGCATGGTTCTCTTATCTGTGGAAGGCAGGCAAAAGAAGCCTGCCGAAGACCTTGAAAATGGTATAAAGGCTGCCCATTGCTTCCTGTCTGGTGTCTCACTCACTCGACAGGGTACTGCTGTGTTGGCGACTGGGCCTATTCTTGCTAGAATAAATATTTTTTAAAAGACTAATTGATTCAGAGTTGTCTCTTACGCAGTGATGATGTTTAATAAGAATTTTGGCCACAACAACACGTTCACGCATTATAATCACCACTGCCGTCATGGTTGGGTATATATCGTTTGAATTTTAGCAATTCCCATTCTTATCTATGCAGTTTTGATTCCAGAATACCGCTCCGAAGCGGTAATTCGAGATAATGAGGGTTTAGTGTGCATTAAGGGCACTGCACTTTGGCATTTTTAAACCATTGGACAGTCTTGCGCACTTACTTCCTGACGCGTACACACGCTTTCAAGTTGCCAAGACTGCAAGTGTGGCTATTTGGACAGGGCAAGTAAGTGGGGCCAAGGGTGAAAAGCAGGCATCTGTCTTTATGAAGAGACATATTATGCAAATGTATTTTGGCTCTTGTGACATCACAGGCCCCACACATTCAATGAATGAGGATTTTAAGCTTGGAAATGTATAGGATGTTTTTATAGTACAATGACTTCTTATTAATCAAAAGTTCAAGTAAAATTGGATTCCTCATGTCATGACCACTTTAAACAATGTCAGGAAACATTACAAATTAGGGATTTCTTAGGAATTTGTGTGAAATATCTGGTCCGTTTACTCAGCCATGAAGATGGGGAGGACAACGAAGTAATGATAGAAAATTAGTTCAGAGCAGGTGAAGAGAACAGGTAGAAAGGGACCATACATGATTTTATGACTTATATCAAAGACAATATCGAGAAACATTGCAGATTAAGGTATTTCAGACTTTTTGTGAAACATCTGTTTTGTTTTCTCGGCCGTGAAGATGAAGAGCACAGAGAGAAAGTAAATGTATCTAGAGCAGGTCAAGAGAACAGGTAGGACTGGCCATGAAGGATGTGTATTAATTACAGATTAGGGTTGTAATGAGGTTCATCCTCGCGCCGTTCTCCCACGGCCCTCGACCTTGTCCTGCTCACCACAAGGGTATTGCAGACTTAGTTTTGGTTTGTTTAGCAAAAATCTAGATGGGATCAGAGGAGAGGAAATGTAAAAGAGGAGGTAGCCGAGAAAATACCCGCACCCCATCAAATTATTTGTATTAATCAAATTAATACACTTTTAGCCAAATAAAAGGACTGAAAAAAGGCCTTTGAAAGGTCCTGATGGGCCATATCCTAGATCCGAGAAGAGTAACAGGCGCTTTTCTAAAGCCTATTGTTATCGCTTACTGTCAAGTTTTCCGGCTTTTTTATTCAGCTCTGCCCAAACTCGAGATGGCGTTCAAACAATGAAGGACGCAAGAAGACAACTCATTGACTTGACTATTTATTTTCTTCAGTTTGCAGAGGTATTTGCAGAAGCAATAGTCAGCAATAGGTTGATAATCTTTAAAGATAAAATTGGACAAAAGAAACACACATTAATATAATAAAGATTAGGGGTGTAACGATACACAAACCTGACGGTTCGGTTCGTCCCACGGTTTTGAGGTCTCGGTTCGGTTCGGTTCATTTCGGTGGGGTGGGGGGGTTTAGAAAGCTAAAATTGCTTTTATTTTTTATTAAACAGTGCTTTAATGAACAAATTGTGTCCTTGTCTTTAAATTAATTCAATTACAAGTAAACGTTTCTCAAGGATAACAAAATTATCTGCTAATGCTGCAAACTACAGCCCTTACTTGCACATTACTATAACATTAAAGCTTAACAACAGAGCCTAGACTTTTAGCCTAAATGATATAATAATAATCAACACTCAAATAACAAATTGTATGAAAACATATAAACTGCACATAAGGCAATTTTTGCATTAACATGTTTTTACTCTAATTTGTTATTGTTATATAATAATTTACACAGTTGCTGTTATTTTCATGACAACTATTTTAAACATACATTAAATAATCAAGATATCATAAACAGGTTAAGTAAAATATAATATATAGGCTAATATATAGCATTTATTTAGTGAAAGAGTTAGCAAACCAGCAAGCTGTGGACACTGAATGACTTGCCTGAGGTAAATATAAAGCTATGTGAAAAACTAAGCGTTTTATTGACGTATTTCCGCTGTTGAAACACTGATTGAGTGTTTACACGAGTTTTGATGCCTTTCAGTAAGTATACTGTATCTTTCAACATACCTTCGGGTGTCCATTCATGTTTATTCTGTAACTGAGGAAGAGATGATCGCGCTCCGCGCTGCCGCATGCATACAGTGATATCTGTCACGCCACATCTAAGAGCGCCAAAACGGCATTTATTGTTTGCATTTCGTGATCAAATAGACATAATTTGAAAGATTACACCTTGCTTATTATCAAAAGTAACAAAACACTGAGCTTATTGCGATTATATGTGGTTAATGGTGGTTAGGCAACAGCCCTGTATTCGTTGTGTACACATAACACATGAGGTGCAATGAGCCGGGGCTGGGCGGGGCAGCAGGGGGCGGGGCGTGTTCGGTTCGCCATGAGAGTATCGCGATACGCATCGTGGGTGGTGTATCGCGGTTTTTCGGTTCGGTTCAAATATCGTTACACCCATAGTGCGAAATACGGGGGGGTCCGGGGGGGCTCGACCCCCCCGATTAACCCATTAGACCCCCTGAAAGCCTCAAAAGCAAAATTTAAAGGGGGTCTCAAATTTTGTCAAAAAATAAAAATAAAATATTATCGCGGAACACCAGTTTAGCCTACTTGTCTGTGTGTTTTCAGATCATCCGCGCTTCTTCAGCAATATAGAAAGCGCGCGCGTGGTTGCCAGATACTATTGAAAAGACCAGGTAGAAAACGTGCTCTTGTAACAGAAAAGCTCTGACTGGGGTTTAAATTATTGAAATATGGCATCCGTAAGCATGAACGCTCGTTTCAGTCTCGTCTTTGTTGATAGTCACAGTTATCCTTTAAAGGTGCCATGTGGAATGTCTGCCAAAAAATAAATTCATATTCCACATATTCCATACCAGATGGGGGCAGTATACCTCCAGAAAGTTGGCCTACTCTAGTCTGTTTTTTAGTTTCGATTTGTTAAGCTTCTAAAACCGTCAAATCGTCCGCTTTGTCCCGCCAAAGCCTATTTTGATCGGTGAATGATGTAGAATATAATGACTGCTGCGCTTGACAGGGCGCATAACGAGCAGAGAGAGAGAGAGAGAGAGAGAGAGCGCCCCGGCCGCGCGCGCGCACTCTCACGTCTTCAAACAACACGAGCGCAGTCCTCCTGCTCTCTCTCTCCCTCGCGCATATTAATCAAATCAATTGA